AGGGGCGGGGGGGGGCGAGGCAGAAGGAGGTGGGCGGCGACAGAAAAGGACAACCCAGACGGTCTCGGCTGGATCAAGCCGAGTCTGCAAATCGGGCATGGGTGGAAGGATCGCTGGGGGGCTCTGCCAACAAGAGAGAGTCTGTGGCAGACGAGGTAGTGCGCCTGCGCATCGGGCCTCTGACATCCGAAAATGCACGATCTGCTCTCCTGGAGGTGGCTTTCCGTGCACCGCGAGCCGCTTGCCGTTTCAATGAAGCCGTTGGCCCAGGGCGGTGGGCAAGCGACAGTGGCAGACTGTGGGATTCGGGTAATCACCGGCGAGGAGCGAAGGAAAAGGCGGGGGGAGGGGGCGAGCCGAAAAATCACGAGCAAGGTTCGACGGGAAGAGGCGAGAGGAAAATGAACATAAAGCAGCCTTCTGCACTCTTCCGTCCTCAGCGAGGGCGAGCGAGGCGGCCTGGGCGGCTGCGCTGCAAGCCTGAGTCCACCGGGGGGCCGATGGGAAACCGTTGGCTGCATCCTGCAGCTCTAGGACAAGCGAAAGAGAGCTCCAGAAGGCTGGGAACCGCCGCCCCTGTACATAGGCGGCCACGGGAACACATTCGCGAGCGCACATATTGAGATCCGTGGCCAGTTCTTCCCAGATCGTGAGCGTCTTTAGAGCAGTCCTGAGCACGTCGGCGAAGTTGGCCAAAATAGCGCTTCGACTACGGGCACCTCGCCACTCATGACGATGAATCCAGTCAGCACGCGTTAGAGAGCAGTGCGGCATCTTAAACATAGACTCGAGAATGCGCTGCTCAAGCGGGCCGGTCTTCTTGACTGGGAGACGGTGGAACTGACCCACATGCGACAGCGTGGAGAGCGCACGCGCGTCGCACAACATGGCGCATATGCGGGGGGGGGGGGGGGGGCTTTGGAACGCGCGCGAGCAGACCACTTGGAAAACGGATCGCCCCACGAGCCCTGGGCAGCACCTGGCCCTGGCAGCATTCCGAAATACTTGAGATGGCTGACAACCCGCATCTCCGCACATCCGGGCAGGTTAGCGGCAATGCAGGAAGTGCATATGTGCTGAATGGGGGGGGGAAGGCGCCAACAAGCGGCACCACGAAACACTTGTTCACTTTCAGCTTGAGGTTCGCAGCTCTTTTGCAAGCCTTAAACACAAAGAAAAGCTGGCGCAACGCCTGGACTTTGAAAAGAACGCTGCCTCTGTCATCCTCGCAGGCCCTCACAAGTCCAAGACGGGGGGGTCTCCAAGAGGGCCTCGGAGTGGCGCGCGAACGGGCGGGAGCTGATGGCGCACAACATTCCCTAAGCAGGGCGCCCGTGAATGATCCCCGAGGCGATGGCAGAGAGGGCCCTGGGCTCGGCTCCAACATTTCCAATGCACCACACATCTTGGCAAATCATCTGGAGGGGCCAGAAGAGGGGCTCGGGGATCCTGGGAGCGGAGGGCCAGGAAGATCCAGGCGCGAGCAACGGACGGGAACGCCTGGTCGAAGTCGACCGCCGCGAGCAGGGGCATCCGAGACTGCGCGTCGCCTTGCATAGACGATCCTTCTGGCCGCGTCCAGCTCCAGGATGTTCCCAGAAGTTGCGGGCGGGGGCGAAACTCATATGCTGTCTATGTGTGATCTGGGGGGGGCGCTTCGGGAGGGCTCTGGGGCCAACGGCGGTGGGGATCTTGATATCGGCGCTCCTGGGGCCCAAGGGTCTCGTTTGGCTAGCGCGTCTGATGACTCCCGCGTCGTCGTCGGCCTCGCCCCCCTGAGCTACGCAGACACTCTTGAACTCTTTGACCCCATGCAGAAGCGACTTGCCCTCCAACGTCCAAGATGGCGGTTCGTCCAAAACTTTCGCGCCGAAAGGGCGAGCCTGCCTGGCATCGTGGGGGGGCGCGTCGGGCCCGGGGGCGCCGGCGTTCAGGCGTCGGAGGCATTTCTCAACATCTAGGACAGTTGGCGGCGGCATGTCGCTGTCCATTCCTCGATACCCGAAGCGCTCGACGCAGCGCTTCGCAGCGGCCTTGTCGGTGGGCTGATCGCAAAAGACAAGGCCCCAGTGCGTCGCCAGCTCGCGCAACATCTCGGACGGGTCAGCAACGGCTCGATCGTTGGTCGACGGGTCGGTAGTCGGGCGAATACCTCTAGGACGCAATTTGCGGCGCGCTTTCTGGAGACATCTGAGTCGCTGGCGACGCTTGGAGCGGGAGACCTCGCATGCGGCCTCCCACAGACGGAGCCTGGCCACGTCCCGCTCGGACTGGAACAGGCGGCAGTTGGCTGCGCCGGTGGTCCGCCCGGAAGCCTCTACGTCCTGGGGGGGATCTCATTGGGCGCCGTGCCGATGTCCAAAAACTTCTCGCCTAACTTGCGGGCGCGCATTACGCGCTGGGCGAGCTCGATATTCTGCCGCCAGACCACGCGAGAGATAGTCCAGAGGACGATGAGCTGAGCAAGTGGATCGCGTGGCTTTCCCCGGATGCGCCAGTCCCTGGTGGTCCGAGCGGCCCCTAACATCACCCCCATGTGGAGGGCGAGACGGAGGGGGGGTCTCATTCATGTTGGCTTGCTCAGCAATCCCCCCGATATTCGCGGCGAACTCGGGGCGCTTGAAATTGCCCGACGGGGGCGGCGCGATCCTTGGCGGGCCTGCTGGGAGCGAGGGCGCAGGAGATGGTCGCGCGGTCGGAGAGGCGGGCGCGGCAGAGGATCCCAGGGGGCCCGTGGGCGCGCGCCGCCGCGCGCGACTGAGCCAGGCACCGCCCTGGAGCAGTAATGAACAAGCGCTCGACGTTGCTGAGTGCCCCTTGGGCATCATGAAACTGGGCGGGTTCACTGCATTCGATCTCGCACAAGGGCCCGGGGCACCAGTCCCAAGCCCGGTTCCTAGAACGACGCCAGCCCAGGTTCTGGGAGCGGGTAATAAAGGCGTTCTCGTCAGCTGCTTTCGGAGGGGCACTCGCAACCTTGAAATCGCCACCTACGATCACGAGGATCTTAATCGGTTCTGGAGAGCCAAACCGAGGTCCTGCTGGATAGCCTCTATGATGGAGACCCTCTGGGTACTAGATAAACCAAATATGCGAGTGCTGCAGTGGGGGGCCAGGGTCCCGCCCGAGAAACTGATCCGAACATTAAAATGCCTCCCCTGGGCTAGCAGGCAGTCCTCGATGCACGGCAAGGCCCACCCTGCCGCTGCCTTCAACTCCGGGAGAAACGTAACCACGCCGCCAGCGCGCGAAGAATGAGGATGCAGAGGCGAGCGAGCCTGGACAAGGAGGTGATGTCGGTAGATGAGGTTCTGAGTCTCGGCCTCGGCCCCGTGGGCCCCCTGGATCCCAAAGAGGCCGCCTTGCCCCGAGAGCTTCCGAAAGTGCTGGGATTTAAGATCGCGAAGACGCCGAGAGCAGTGGAAGAGGGCGCGGGCGTTCCAACAGCCGAACAGGATGAGGGCACGGGAGGGATGCTGGCGGCACCACGCAGACGAAATAGTGCCAGTGCTAGGACCGCTGCACAGGCTCTGGCCCCGACGCGAGGTTCGCGACGCAGTCGGCGATCCGCTGGTGGTCGATGCCCTCGCTGACGAGGTTGGACTCGGCACGCTTGATGGACGGGGGGGCGTCTCCCGGGCCCGGGGAGATGGCGGCAATCGGCTTCCAGCCCACGCTGATCTCGCCCTTGTGCTTGTTGCCGAACAAGCGCTTCGAGGGGTTGGCGTCGGCGCAGGCGCGCCTGATGGCTTTGACCAGCTGCTCACGTTTGATCCAGCACGGGGACTCGTCGGAATCGAGGAAGAGGTCGGTCGAGCAGCCAGACGTGTCTGTGACCGACTGGCGCGCCCATTGGTTGTCCCCGAGACGCGGCGAGCCCGATGGCGCCACGAACGCGCGCATGAATCCTCGTAGATGCGGGGGCGCCCTCGAGGGCGACCTCGGAAGGAGAAAGATTGCTGGCCTCCAGGACCGGGCCAAGACTCTTCTTGAACTCGTCCACGGTGCAGAGGGTGCGCGACCTCGTCACCAGGATGGCGCAGTCTGGGTCACGGTTGAACGCCGAACGGTCCTCCAGATACTCCAGAGGAGGTTTTTCTGAACTGATAACTCCCCCCAGACGTTAGAGTTCTGCCAACTTGATGTCAATCGCCCCGCTCGTCGTGCGCCGCGATCTTGATACCGACAGCCGCCATCATTCGCTCGACCTGCTTGCCGAGGGGCTTGCACGAGGCGCTGACCGTGGAGACAAGGTTGCCGATGGTGGTGGTGAAGCTGTTGGCCATGTCGGGCTTCGCGCGCTCGATGGCCGCCATGAGGGAGTCCTTCGTGCGGTCCACATAGGTTTTGATGTCGGCGTCGCCCACAATGCCTAAGTCGTCATCAGTGTGGCCAGCAGAACAAGGACGTTTCGGAACACTCGCTGGGGCCGCTCTCTTGGTTCCATTCGGAACGGGGCTGGGAGGAAAACGTGGGCATCGAATCCAGGGCTGCCGCGGTGTCCTGCGAGAGCTGCACGGGATGCTGCTGAGATCCAGCCATTGCTTCGCACGACTACACAAGTAGGCGGCACCCGTCAACAAAGACTGTGAAAGAGAAGTCATGATTATCGGCACGGCACCTCCAGGTGCTCGCCAGATAGAGAAGCCACAGACCAGACCCCTGTGTCGCGGGCCGAGCCTGGTCAGGGCGCGCACTGGCCTCTTCGCCACCTCGAGGAGATGGCAACTTGAGCCAAAATGGCTACGGATTCCTTCTCCTCCTCTTCCTCCTCTTCCTCCTCCTCCGCCTCCGCCTCCTCCTCCGTTTCCTCGTCTTCGTCATCCGTGTCCTCCTCCTCACCATCCTCCTCTTCCTCCTCCTCACCATAATCGTCGTGTTCGTCGGTATTTTCCATCGTTTCCTTTTCCTGCTCCTCCTCACCTCGTTCCCAAGCATCGTCTTCCCCCTCCTCCCCTCTGTGCCCTCCCGCCCCCCCATGGGCGCCCTGGATTCTGCGCTGGACGCGTCAAATAGAAAGAAGCAGAGGACCCCCTGTATGGGGTCACTCCGCTGCGCGAGCTCGCACGCAGACCGCTGCGCAAGCTGGCAAACCATTCTCTGGCGACAAACTGTCTCCCAAAAGTGCAACGGCGCCGAATTGACCAGCAGAACAGCCGTGTCAATTGCAAATTGCTCCCCACCTCCTCCGCTTCCTCCCTCCTCCTCCTTCTCGCCCTCACTCGTCCTCGTGATCCCTCTTCCTCGCCCTCCTTATCATCCTATCATCCTCATTCCTTCCTCCTCTCCCGTCTCCCCTCCTTTGGCCATACTTCTGTGAGTCCCAGCGAAGAGAAAGCGAACACTGTGTGAGGAGCGGCTGAAAGGCCCCATTGGCGGCCAGGAAGATTATGCTGACCAATCTGATCGATGTGGTCTCAAAGCACCCACGCTCGACATGTGCCGCGTTTTGAGCCTGCGAGGTGTTGTTTCTCGGGATGCTGCGGTGGAGTGGACTCGGAGGGATCGCTAGTTCAGCTCACGGTGGCTCCAAGAGAACATCGGCGACACCGAAGAGGTACCAACCAACCCACCGCCTACGACAGCACCAAGTGGGCCTCTAAGACAACAAAAGAAGACCTCAGGACATACCAAGAGCGCCTCGAAACCGCTTTGTATGGCATCGTGGAAGCCTCTGGTGGCCTAAATAGCCCCCCCCCCAGTCCAGCAAAGGGCCCCACTTCCCAAGGGCCATGGTGGGCACTCGAAGGGGGGGGGGGATTCCAGGAGGGTGAGCCGGCCTGGGGCCCGGGCCCCTCTTACCCCCTGAGGGGCAAGCAGCAAAGACATCCCACTCCACCCGCCAGGTGGCAACGACATGGGAAGCGAAGCAGAGGTATAACTTCACTCGACTCGTCACGCACGTTGCCATGCCGCGCGGGCCGAACGTGTACAATCTCGCTCTACTCGCCACGTGGCAACGCCTGGGGGGGGGAGGGCGAAACCACAGATGCCATCCCATTTTCCACGTCGCAACGTCGCGGGGCGGGAGCAGCTACAGCGCCACTCCATTCGCAACGTGGCACTGACAGTCCACCGAACAACATACAATACAACTTTACGTGCGGCATGGCAACACGGCACAACAAACAACACGACTCTACTGCATTCGAAGCGGCAACGCCGTTGAGGCGAACGCAGACATGTACTCGGCACGTGGCTCCACCGCGGACAAGGACGACGGCGACGACGATGACAATGACGACGACACGGACGACGACGACAACGACGGCGACGACTACAACGACGACGATGTCGACGAGGACGACCACGACGCTGACGACAACGACGACGCTGACGACGACGGCGACGACGACGGCATTGACGACGACGACGACGACGACGACGACAATGACGCCGACAATGACGACGACAATGACGACGTCAATGGCGACGCCGACCCCGACGCCGACGCCGACGCCGACGCCGACGTCGATGTCGACGCCGGCGACGGCGACGGCGACGGCGGGCGGCGGCGGCAACGGCGGCTGCGACAGCGACGACACGGACGACGACGACAATGACGCCCGCCCGCCCGCGCGCGCGCCGGCTCGCGCGCCCGCCAGCCTGCCGAAGCATGCGTCCGCCCGCGCGCCCGCCCGCGCGCACCCGCCCGCCTTCTCGCCCGCCCGTCCGCACGCCAGCCCGCCCGCACGGTCGCTCGCCCGCCCGCTCGCCGGTCCACACGCACGCGCGCCCACCTCCCCCCCACTTCTTGTATATCTCTCGCTCGTCCCCTTTTTCCCGGTTCTCCTTCCGATCCTCCCGCCTCCCCTTCCTCCCCCCGTGCTCCTCCACATCCTCCTCTTCCATCCATGCCTCCTCCCCTCCTCATCCCTCCACCCTTTTCCTCTTCCCTCCTGCCTCACCTTTTGTTTTTTCCCTCCTGCCTCCCCCTTCCCTCCTCCCTCTTCCCTCCTTCGCGTCCTCCTGCTCCATCCTCCCTCCTTCTGCCTCCTTCCTCCTCCTTCCTGGCTCCTCCCTCCTCCCCCCCCTCCCTCTTCGTTCCCCCCTTCCCCCTCAACCCACTCTTCCTTTACCAACCAACCACCACCCCCACACCACCGCTCAAAACCGCACGCCCGTGCTTGCAATTCCTGGCTGTGCCCCGGATAGTTTCCGGGGTCGGATTTCGTTTTCCCGGGTTTGGCGTTCAGATTTCTAGGTTTGGTGCGCGTCCGCGGCTGCCTGGACAAATTCAAGGGTTGCAGTGCGCTGTTCCGTGGACCACATAATACAAAACAAACGTACCAGGCTACGCTACAAACCGTGTGGCAGCGCAGAGGGCACAAATCACTACTCTGTATTGCACTGCGCCAGAATGGGAGCGCCTCACGGCGACGATGACAAGGACATGAACGGAACGGCTACGCAGATTGACAAAACAATTCTAATTCAGTACCGACAGCGAAGATGACGACGGCGACAGCGGCGACGTCGAAGACGACCTCCAACGACGACGAGTAGACGTACGACGACAACGAGAATGACTACGAGCACACCCGAACAGACGACGGCGACGAAGACGACGACAACGAAGCCTACGAATACGACGACCACGACGCAAACGAGGACAAAGACGACGACCACGAAGAACACGACGACAACAACATCAGCACCCCCCCGCAGTTCCACCAAACACTAGAACGCAAATATGGGGGGTAGCTTCGAAAGTCCCCCTCCCCGCACCGGGAAGTCTGGGCTTACCCTTCAGCCCCCAGGTAAGGGGGGGAGCTTCTACCCCCCCCAAGCCCCAGCAACAACCCCACGCTTCGCAAGAGGGGGGAGGGGATGGCTTCGGACCCCCCCCACCCCTTGGAAAGCGAAGCCCCGGCCCACCTCGGAAATCCAAAAGGACAAGGGGAGTTTCCGAACCCACTCCCTACAGCAAACCGGGAAATTTCCAAAGCCCCCCAATTTCCAAAGGGGCCCGAGCTTACCCGGGAACCCACAAGGAGGTGGGGGGGGGTTCGAAGCCCCACTCCTGACTCCCCCATCAGTCTCCCACGTGCCTAAGGGGGCGGAAAATTGTTTCGGAAGCACCCCCCTGAGTAAAAGGGAGGGACGTAGGTTGAAGCTGGGACCCCCCTCTTGTTCTTGTTGCGTCCCGCAGCGCGCTCTCGCAAATATACACATGTATGCGTATGTCTGTTCATGTATGTTCATGTGTGTATATATAGATAAAACATGTACTCATTGGTGTCAGAACAATACCCATCAAGCGGGCCTGGACGGGCGTTCTAAAGAGCTCTACAAAGACCATGGCAACACGCCATTAATTGTAATGAGGCCTCCCGAGAGCCCCCTAACCGTCGATTGGGCCACGGCCGAGGGCGGTTCGTATAACGTGAAATGCGCGGAAAGCTCGCGCCGTTCCCTCGACAATCTCGGGCGCGGGATTACCGCCAAGCCCAAGACGCAAGGATGGAGGAATCAGGAGGCGACTCTGGGATAGATACAAAGCCTCCACAAGACAGGGCAATGCATACAACGCAACACATCGTCATGGTACAGAGCGCAAGGACATCTACACGAGCCAGTCTCTGTCGAGCGGAGTCCTGCACCAGTGAGCCAGCCGTCAACTATCGTCGCAAGGACGACGCTTTGCCAGGCAGGCGGGCCACCATTCCGAATGAGATCTCCGAGGACAAACCAAGAATATTCCGAATATGAGAGCCCCCAGGAGGCCTGACGCAACAGGAGCGAGATCATGGACGTCGGGGTAGAGGGAGAAGCGAAGCGAAGACGAGAGGGAACCTTGGACACGCGCGCGCCTCTGCTCTGAGGTTTCTGCGGGCGCTGCAAATGCGACGCGGGCGGCGGCGGCGTCAGCCTTCAGAGGGAACGCGGCCTGCGTGGCCTCGTCAATGTGGGCCGCCAAGCGGCAGGGTCCACCAGATAATCGGCGACCGCCATCCTTGCCGATCTCCGCCAGGCCTCCACGCGCGCGCGCGTGCTCGCGCAGCGTCGCAAGCTGGGGCGACCAGTTGCTCGCCGCGCACATAGCCGCCCCACGCGAGAGGCCATGCTTAACGCGATCATGCACGCTGGCCGCAGTTCCGACGAACTGCCCCACCCTAGACGGCCACCGCGCGAGAAAGACTGGGGAAGGATGCGCCGCAGCCCATGCCATGCCCAGGCCTCGCGCTTGACCGGCGCGGGGGGGGGGGCGCCGGCTGCGTCAAGTAGCTGACGACCGTCGGCGCTCGCGCGCTGTAGAGCACGGCCGTCGAGCGCACGGGGGCGCCCTCGACGGACAGCTCGCGGACGCGGCGGGCCCTCCTGCCGCTCGTCGTCCGGAGGGGCGCCGGGCCCGAGGATGAAACCCAGGCGCTTCGCGCACGGGGCCGCGCCCATCTGCGCCCGGCCCGGAACTCCAGCGCAAGCTGCGCCTTCGCGCTGGCAGCGAGCTCCACGGAGAACGTTGCGCCCAGAAGCACCGCCCGGCACGCGGCGACCTTCGGGGCCAAGCCAGCCAGAGCCCGCGCAGCAACCAAGATCGCGCGGAGGCGCGGGAGGAGCCCGCGGTCCTGCAGCACTGCGTCGACGTCGCCCGCGCAGACGCACGCCGCGGAGGCGCCCCAATCTCCCGGGAGCTCCCCCACGTGGGCCACGAAAAAGTTCGTGGCCACTGCCCGCGTGGACTCCGAGAGTGGGCGGCCCTGCGCGACGCCGTCCGCGGCCATCATGAACCTGCGTAGCTCGCCCTCCAGCGCCGGCGGCCTGCGGCCGCCGGCGCGCGCCCATGATCAGGTGGTAGAGGCCGCCCATAAACCATGCCCCACGCTGCGCCGCGCGCAGGAAGGGCGCCGCCAGCGACGAGAGGGCACTGCCGTAGTCAAAGAGGATCAGCACCGGCTGGCGCTGACCCCCAGCGGAGGAGGGGCCGGCCCTACGAGCAGCGCTGTCGAGATGGGCGACGCCGTTCAGGACGTTGCGCCCGGGGAGAAGCCCCCATGGGAGCTCGAGGGGAGTGGCGCTCGATGACAAATTTAGCGAGGTGGCTGCGCTCTTGAGCGCCAGTGGCCCGGCGGTGGACGGCGCCCGAGTCGGGCCCGAGGAGGGCCCCTCGCCCGAGTCGGGCTGGCAGGCCATGGGGCGATCGTTGAGGCCCGGCGGCGGCGGAAGAGCCCCGCGCGACCCCCGTGCCCGCCTTTGCCAGGCCCTCGAGCGGCAGCGGGGGCCCCGCGGCAACTCCAGGATCGCGGGGCAGGCCGTCTGGGCCACGGGCCGAGGCGCGAGCCCCGCAGGCAGCTCGCCGGAGGTCGCGGCCGTCGGGCAGACGGACCCCCCCCAGGCCCCAATCACCGCGGGGCGGGCACCCAGGCAACGTCTGGCCAAGTGTTGCTCAGGAAATCGCGCTGAGAAATGGGTGGCCACTGCCTCTTCAACTCCGCTTGAGCATCGGCCTGGGGCGCTCGCGATCTGCTCGGCGCCTTCTGACCAGGAAGTCGCGGGCCTTTGAGCTTCAGAGTTCGGTTGAAAGGTGCCCGAAGAGCAGCCCGCAGTCGAGTGGCTCGCCTCGTTTTGCTGATGCGTTTCAAAGATGGGCCATCTGGAGGGGGGCCCTGCCAAGGTCTGCGAGGTTCCGTTCACTGAGTGCGTCTGCACGGCCGCGAATGCTTCAGAGATGCCCGAGGGTCTCTGGAAGGAGATGGTCGAGTCGGCGATCGCGGGGCGATCGGCAGCGAGCGGTCAGGAAGATGGGCCGCCCAGCCATCTTTGGATCGCCGTTTCAGAATGCCCTGGCGATCAGGCGGAATATCAACCGCCTCGAATCGATAGCCTGCGCCCCGTGCTCGAAGAAGGCCGCCCGAACCCTCCGAGCAGCTTCGCGCGCGGGCCGCTCGCGCCCCGGGCGCCGCTGGTGGGGGAGAGGGGAGGTCGCGGCGCATGCTGCGCCGCGAGCAGGCACCGCCTCGCGCACTCTGGACAGTTGAATGTGCGCTTCGGGGTCGGCCGCGACTCGCCGCCCCTCGGGGGCGGCCCAGGCTGGCGGCCGCGACCGGCGCGCGGTCGCCGACGCCGAGCTCGCGGAGCCACTCCGGGAGGTCCCTGGTGGAAGGGGGGGACGTGCCGCTGGATGACCACGCGCGATGGGGCTGCGGCGACAGCCCCGTCGATGTGCGCGAGCTTCGTCGGGGCGCCCTCCTTAGCCGAGAAAAGCGCGGAGGGCCTGCGGTCGAGCCCGGCGAAGTCGCTGAAGAGCTGGGGCCGGCGTCGCCCCGGCGGCCAAGGGGCGGCCTCGGCCCCGCGCGCGAGGCCCCCGTCGATGGGCGGGCCGCGCGCGAGCAGGGGCGGCGCCGCGAAGATGTCGAAGCCGCCCAAGAGCATCAGGGAGGCCATCTTCGGCGCCGATTGAGCCCTCGCGATGCCAGCTCGGACCCTGGCCTCGATCGACGTCGCCGGGTCGCTGCTGACCCCGAAGTAGCGCACGCTGCAGATGATGAGCGACGGAGTGGACGCGCCCGACGCAGGGCCTGAGACTCGCAGCCGTCGGACGCCCCCCCCCCGCCGGCGCCCGCGTTGGCCTCTGGGTGCAGAAGAAGAGACAACACGCCCAGGATGAGCAATGACCGCCCCGCCGATGTCACGCATGCTGCCGAAGTTCACGAAGGCTTGGGCGTAAATGTAGAGTCGATTCAACGCCTGCACAAGTCCTATGTCATTGCCACGGACCTCCTGCAGGCACATCGCAGTCTGCTGCGAGGGGTGCTTGAAACGGAACTTGAACATGTGATCTCTGGCCTAGACATCGCGGTGCAGCAGCGCTCGAGAGCTCCCGGGCCTGATGGCGGCACTCTCTCGATGCCCGCGTGGGTCGTGCCACGTCGCTAAATCGCTCGCCGGGCACGCTCCGACCCAGCGAAAATCTAATCGAACAACTGTCTGGTCGTGTCCATAGTCAGGTTGCGAGCATGCGCATCACGGTGTTCCACTCCAAAACCGATGGGTCCTGCGCGCCCTCGCCGACAAACACCTTGATGACAAGCTTCGACCCGTCGCTGACGAGGCCTGCGTGGCGATTGGCGCGCCAGCGTCCCTCCACTCCATTGTCTCGGACGAGCTCGAGGAGACGTTTCGTCTGGCTGTCGTGTCGGATGGCCAGGGGCGACGTGTCGAGGCCGACGAGAATTGGGACGTGCGCGCCCTCGTGCGAGGGCGCGGTGAAGTGGCGACAGGCGCCGTTCTTCTTGCGCTTCTGGAAGGCGGAAGAGACCCGACGCGGAGAGGCCCGTGGCACTGTGGAGTCTGAAGATGTGGCGGCGGCTCGGGGGCGCGCCCTAAAGCGACCAGCGGCGGTCCTCGAGCTATGCGTCATCCAACCACGGGAGCACACTAGCCAGCACCGCCTCCGAAGTGAACGCTTCTTTAACCGAGCTGACGAATATCGACTTGTCGGGCTATCTCGCCCACCCCGCCACGTCGCTGAGGTTCTGAACTGGAGCCGCTGCCCCGCATGCCAAGACCACCTTCTTCAGCATCGCATGAGTCTCACGCATCTGCTCCTGGTCCCGCTGGATGCGCGAGACGCAGCGGTCGAGGTCGTGGATTTGAGCGTTATTGGCAGCCTGGCGTTCCCCGAAGACGCGGGGGGCGACGGAAATCGAGTTGGCGATCTCGGCGGACATCTCATTGCTGGCAGCGTGGACCGAACCGACGATGCACTCGCGCAGAGCCGCCGCCTCGAAGTGTGGCGATGGAGATGGCCTCGCTCTTCGCCCAGGGGTCGCCGCTGCCATGCAAAAGGATCGCTACGGACGTCACGGCGATCGTCCACAAAGCCCCGACGATCGTCATCTACACATGCGCCACTACTGCTGCGTCGCTTCTCACGATCTGAATCCTCGGAGTGCTGCGAGTCGTGTCGGCGACGGCCACCTCCTCCAGACTTCCCAGGGCGGCGCGAGCGAGAGCAGGAATGCCCTCCGCAGGGGAGTGTCGACAGGGGAACGTGAGTGCGACAGAATGGCGAAGACAGACACGTCGACTTCGGAAGGGATTTGGCGCAAGGTCAGATCCCTCGCGCTTGGTCGCCTCGAGAAAGACTCGCGGTCGTCGGGAAATGGCTACGGGCGTCATGTATGTATCTATGTATATATATTTGTATATATATATATATATATATATATATATGTATATGTATATATATACATATACATATATATATATATATATATATAATTACGACCAGGTATGCAGAATCATCTACGTATATGCATACATATACGTATACAAAGACATTTGTTTTTGGCCACCCCCTCTTTTTCCCTCACCCCCCGCCCCCCGAGCCTCCCCACGGAGGCCCTCAAATGCCCCTTGTTCCGTTCCTGGGAAATTCAAAAAACCCGCGACGAATTCCAAACCGGGGCCCTTGCGTGGGACATCCTTAGGAAACTGGCTCCCAAACCCCTCCAAATATGCACTCAAACGCACGCCGGGGCGCTCCGGGCGTGTCCCGGTTCGATCGGTGGCGACGATATGCCAGCGCGCCCCGGGGCGCGCCGGCGTGTCCAAATCAGGTGCTCTCGCTCGAGACATCTTCACAAGGTCGCTCCCTGGCGCGCGAGCAAGTCAGGCCCCATGCTCCACATCCTAACCCTCCTGCTCCACGCTCGCCTGATCCTCACCCGCGTTACCCTCACTCTACTGATCCTCACCCCCGCGAGCCTCGCCCTCCTGATACTCACCCTCCTCATCCTCACCCGTGGCACCATCGCCTCTCCTATCGACAACAAGCAAACCCCCCTTTCATGTTCAGAAACCCCCGATGAACCGCAGAGCGGCCAGCATGTATGAGAGGGAGGGTGGGAAGGGCAGGTCCCGCTGACTCTTTCGACCTGGCCAACTTGATCCTCCTCCTCCTCCTCCACCTCCTCCCCCTTTTGATCTCCCCAATCCTCGTTCGATTCCTTTCAGCGTCCAAGCGCAGCCACACCCTCCCGCTGTCGATGCAAGAGAGACACGTCCTCCTCCTCCTCCTCCTCCTACTCCTCCTTCTCCTCCTATTTGTTGTCCTTCTCCTCCTCCATTCTTACTCCGCCCCCATTCTTGTCCTCCTCATCCTCCTCCTGCCCTATCCTCATCCTGATCCTCCCCCTCCTCCTCCTACGCCTGTCCCCCCCTCCCCCTCTCATCCTGCCCCCCCCGTATTCCTCGGAAGAACATCATAATGCCGGACGCGCCACGCGTCACCTGAAGCCGAGTATGCCCCCGCCGCCGCCCTCTGTCGTCGTCGTCGTGATCGAGGTCTGGGTCACGGTCGTCGGTGGCGCGCCGACCCCCAGACGCGGTCCTGCCACCAGGAGCAGAGGGCGGGGCACGCGGGCAAGCGCCGGGCAAGAGCGGATAGGCGGGGGACCCCCGGAGGAAACCAGCGTCGGGCGCTGCGCAATGAAGGGGCGATAGCCGAGGATGATCTTTTGTTTTTATCCCCTCCCCCCTTTTGTCTCGGCGGGGCGGTGAATAGGACTCGTCCTAAAACTGGCCCCTCCTCTTCCTCCTGCTCCTCCTCACCGTTCTCCTCACCCTTTTCCTCCTCCTCCTCCTCCTCCTACTCCTCCTCCTCCTTGTCCTCCTGCTCCTCCTCCTCCTATTCCTCTTCCTCCTCTTCCTCCTCGTCCTCTTTGGGGGAAAAAAAGCGTGCACCTTTCGCGGTTCGGTCTTCATGGCGGCGCCAAAGGCGCCGCCAGGGGAGCCCAGCGCCGATCCAAGAAATCCGCGTGGAGTTTCGAATGCCAATTATTTCTGCAGTCTGTTTCCTTCGAAAAAAACGCTCTCTCCTCATACGACCACCAAGAACAAGCAGAGCACCCCTCACCATCCCTGTCAAAAATGCCTGGCGAAGGATCCACCCCTCGCAAGAGATTGTCTTCTCCTCAAACAAGGCGCGCCGCGATAAGGATGGAACCTGGGACGGGCGGCGGACCAGGCGCGCAGATGCGGGCTGAGCTCCCCGCGGTGCGCGATCCAAGCGGAAAGGTGCGCTGAGCTCCCTGCGCCTTTTTTCGGCATCGCGAATCCGCCGACCTCTGCTTGCCGGGGGTGTGAGAAAACGTGTGAGATGATGGCCTGTCCCCTCCCCCTCCCCAAGAGCCCCAAATCCTCGCAAGGAAGGGTAAGAGCAAATGGGGGAGCAATGGAGGTGGAGTTCCTCAACGCACCTATGCGGTTTCAAATTCAATTTTCGGACGTCTCCACTGCCAAAAACGGCTCCAACGGCCAGCGGAAACCTCAAAAAAACCCGAAGCGGCCCTAAAACGGCTCAAACAGCTTCCAGGACGACCAACGAGGGCCCCAAAAAGGCACAGCAAAAACCTTCAATAAACACGGGCCGCTGATTTCCCATAGGTGTTCGCACGATTCCCACGATGTCGAAATTTCGGACTTCCGGAAGCACACGACGGCTTCCCACACCAGCGCAAGACGGCCCAAGAGACCTACAGGAAGAAAAAAAGACGGCAAGAGGGACCCAAAAATTGATCAAATGGGCGCGCAAAACGACCCAACAAACTTTCAGAAGGGCCCAGCAGGGGCCCAAAAAGGGGAACTCGAGGAAACACGCGGAACCTCCCGTTCCGCCCCAAGAGCCCCAACCTGCCCCCGAAAGGCCTGCAGAAGGCCCCAAGACGTTTCCAGGAGGCCACGAATGGCATCCAACCGACACCCCGACCTCGTCGAGGCTTCCAAAACGCCCCGCAACAGACCCCAAACGACTTCCCAACAAAAACTCATCACCTCTCCCCCGTTTCCACCTCCCCCCCCGACCAACACCCAACAATGAAACGGAGCTGCTCCTAAACAGCTTCGACATCTAACGAGGAGGCTGCGCCGCGCGTGCACGTGCGAGTCCCCAGGGCCAACAGAACATCCGTGGGAAGACCCATATTTCTGGATAGCCCCCCTCGCGACTGACGACTGGGATATTGCGCGAGCTGTCGCCAAGGGGGGCCCAACGTGGAATCAAACCGACTGTTGATCACAAGACGGAGCCAGGTTGACCGCAAAATGGGAACTGCACATCTCCGTCACAACATCGAACGCACGTGTAGAGGTGGCGTGTCCAACAAACCTTGCGAAACAAACCTTCGCGCGCACGCCGCAACGGACCACCAAATAGCGCCCTCCATGTCCAAAACAAGAGACGCCACGATGCCCCCGCCCGCATTCATGTCTGAGCGCGTGCCCAAATACGACGTGGAACTACCCCGAATCCAGCAACATCTATAATCTATGGGCCCGCAAAAAAATCACTCACACGTTCGCCGCGCCCCCTGTGGGAGAACAAAAAGCCGACACCAGCACCGAGAAAGTATTTGTTTCACGAAATGTCGAATTGCGTTTTGGACCAGCGCGAGCCCGCCCTGGCCTGAGGAATCGCAGAGTGGGCGAGGAGGACGGGGGAAGGGAGACGTCGCGCAGCACGCAGGAGGGAAAGCAGGAAATAACAAGCGCAAGCGAGAAGCGAAACTAGCGGGCGCTCCCGGGAGAAGAGGGAGAGAAGAGGGAAGGCTGCGGCATCCCCCATGGCTGAAGCTTCACCCCCCCCACCGCCGCCCTCCACCACGCCTGCCCCCGCCCGCCCGCCCCCCTCTCATTCCCCCCACCCCTCACCCACCCTATGTCCGCCCGCGTCGCATCCCTGACCCTTGTCTGGCCCGACACCAAGGCCCGACGAGTTCGAATCCGCCGCTCTCTGCGAAAGGGGGCGGTGGCCGCCTGTCGCGGCCTGGGCATAAGACCGTGGCCCCCTCTTGACCCAAGCCCGCAGCCCGTGGCAACCTTCCGAAATCGTCGATGGGTTCAGCTCGCACATGGGGCCGCCGTTCCAGTGGGGGTCTCGGTGCTGGCGTCGGCTTTTTGATGTTGCAGGGGGCAAAAAGCCGGCACCAGCACCAAGACGCCACTGGAAAAGTTCGAAGCGCTTTCCCTGTGGGGGCTGAGCGACCCAACGAAGCCAAGAAAGCTTGAGATGGCTCGCATTGCTCTCCGACTTTGCATGCCACGGTGCTTCCATGATAGGGGAACGCCCCATGCAGCTCATGGCGCCCCTGAGGCCCACGGGGCCCCCATGGCCCGCGGGGTTTCCAAGGCTCAGAAACCAGATGTGGCCCTAACGAGTCAGGGAGCCAATGGTGCCCGCGCAGCATGCTGGGCCAGCGCGGCGCGTTGGGCTTATGCGCGCTGCGGCGCACGTTCGGCCCATGAAGCCCTTTGTGGAACTTGCGGGGTTCATGGGGCTGGCTGGGTTCGCACGGCCCGCGGGGCTCGCGCGGCCCATGAAAATCCTAACGCTCACTTGGGGAACCGGAGACGGCCCGTTATGTTCCCACGCGTTCAGAGCTGGCATTCATCAACTCTGGACACGCGAACCCGAAGACACGGGCGACGGCATTCAACAGAGGCTGCAATGTTTTCTTGTCTAGTGGCATCTTGGTGTTGGCGTCGGGCTCCTGTGCGCCGACCCTGCGCGTGAGCGCCCGCGCCCGCGCAACAGCCCGAATGCAAAAAGATGCTATATGCATGCGCGGCCAACGCTTCCCGCTTGAGAAGCAGTAGCACAACGCCGACGAGCCACAACAACTGAAAACAACCAAGTCGCTTGAAGCCACCATTCCGATGACTTTCCTGGATGCTCTATGTTGCCTGCGTATTATTCCTCCAGGGGAATCATTCGCCAGACTCCTGGCAAACTTCGGATAACATGGCGATGTTAGCGCATCGGGCTCATCGCCCATGATCGGCAGATGAAGAAGGCTTCCCAACACTCCATAACCTGCAAAGCTGAACATAGCGGTATAGGAGAAAGCACAGAAGGAGAGAACGACGACAAAGCGACGACCCCAACCTTCACTTTCCCCGACGCGCAAGGCGCGCGCGATCCTCGAGTAACGCAGCTGCGGCGGCGGCCGGTGCCAGAGGGCGGCAGGGGGCGAGCGGGGAGATAAGAGTAACCAATCCCCCAGCGGCGGGGCGCGCGGGCCCGGCGCGCTAGCCCGCCCTCAGGAGGTCCACGGGTTGCCGGCACCCCCCGAGGCCCGCTGGCCTCCCCCGGCGTTCGCCCCGAACGATTTTTCTACGCCATCAGGGGAAGGGGTGCCGATGAACCCGTTGGATCTCCACTAGAGGGTGAATCGACGCGGACCGAAGTATCCCACGCAAAAACCCTCTTGCATCAAAAGTGAACGCAGCAGTCCATGCACAGGTACATCGTCCCGTTCTTCTTCAGCAAGCAATGCAGCAGGGGCTTGGCATCTGCCAGCATCTCTCTTCACCTCGTAGCATTGCGACCGCCGTTGCCGAACGCTTCGCGATATTGCTCTGACATCCACCGCTGCCGCTGTCGGCAACATTGCATAGCACTTGTCCACCATGTTTGTGGTTATCCTATACTTGTGCGATGTCCCGCTGCTCCGGATACAGCTCCCGCTGGACAGTTCTAAGGGTCGAGCGCCCGCTTGGCGTCTGGCGCTCGGCCCTCTGTCCGTCTTTTCTACGACGAACCCAGGGCTTCCCTGGCCTTGCTCCAGTGTGCGATGATGGATCTTGTCTCGATCCAGCATCGCGGCCCCTGCCCCTCGGCCTCCGCGGCGGCGGCGGCGGCGCCTCGCCGCGGAGGCAGCCCGCGCGCGCCGTCGCGGAGCGAGCGGCCATCGGAAGCCGCGGCCAACACATCGCCCCCCATCGGCCGCGCAGGGGCGGAATGGCAGCGGGGGCGCGGCCAGGGCCGGCTCCTCCAAGACCATCTTCCTCAACGTCCATTGACGCCGACTCGTCGGGCGCGGGGGCGCCGCCGACTGGGTCGACAGCAGGTTCCTCTGAAATGATACTCTTGTCAGATACAGGTGAGCGTTGAATCGCTGCTCCAGAGGCTGCGATGCCTCGCCCCATGTCATCGGCGGATGTTCCAACATCAGCTGAACCGAGATCAGGACAAGTACTCGGGATTTCGATATCAGTCTTGGCGTCTTGGCGCCCATGCTCGGCAACCGCGCGCCCCCGCATGCCGGCGCATTTGTCCTGCAATTGCTCATTCCCTTTGTCTTTGCCGACAAGAAGCTCAGCCGTCGCAATCTGCATCGGCCAGCGGTCTGCGCAACTGTCGATCTTAAGGCTGAGCCCCAAGCCCGCGATGAACGTCCCGAACAGATCGGGGCTCTTGGCTGCCTCCCTGATACCTCATCGAGTTCGCAATGGTATCTCCGCACCTGCTGCGGGCAATGGTCCACCCTACGTCATGCACCATGTGTCTTCCAATGTTCCTCGGCATCAAGCATGGCTTACATGTCTGTCGGG